GGGAACAGTTACTGCAAATGCTGTGGCTAGAGAAGCAGCGTTTCTTGACGAGCCATCTGCACTGGTGCGCATTGTAAAGCACGCTCCTCAAAACCACAGACCCCGTAGGCAGACGACTCGAGTTGATGCTGTGACTCCGAATTACTAATTGTGTGACTCTGCTTCAAGGAACTTAACCTGCGTGAGCCTCCCTTCCTACAAATGCAAAATGAAAATGGCACCAAATACCAGAGGCACCCAGCTCTGTGAGCTCGGAGGAAGTGAAACGATCGCTGTTCGCAGGTGACATAGTGTATGCATAGAACGTGCCAAAGACGGCAGTAAAAGTTGTTTGAAATAAAGTGGTGCACTACAAAATCCATATCCAAAATACAAAATTATACAGAATACAAAAAGTAATATAAAAATCTGTTGCATTTCTATAAGCAAATAAACTAGCAGAAAGGACATCAGGACAATTCAGTGAGGAGGATTATGTGACATTTGCAAATAATTTCCAAATTTGCTGGCCCATAGTGAGAAATAGAATGCTGAATGAATGAATGAATGAACCAGACTAGATGGAATCTGATTTTTCTGTCTTCTGCTTTGTCCTCTCTTTCAATCTTTTTTTTTTTTTGCCTCAAGGAAAATTCATTTTCTATTTTACTTTCCATCATTAGCCCTTGATGTTTAGCTAATATATTTATATTATGCTTCTCTTTGATGATCATGAAGGACTAAACAATAAGGGAAAAAAAATGAAGCTTGCTATTGAAATAGTCCTAGCCAAGGATACAATAGAAAATGTTTATTCACTGAGAATATCACTAATTTGGTGTTATTTCCTGATGATTTTTATCTCCCATTAGAAATACAAAGCGCACCCCTGTGCTATGGGGAAAGAACTGACAAGTGTTTCTTCTCTGCTGTGGTTTTTTACTTTTTATTGTTAAGGAACATCACATGATGACATTTCAGGTGTGCTTCATTGCAAGTGAATATTAGAGTCACCATTGAAAGTTTATTTTTTTATATTGTTCATTTATATTGTATTGGATGTCTCCCCCCAAGTGTCACCCCCATAAATCTCCCACCACCGCAGTCCCTTGTGCTCTGCCTTCCTGTTTTGACCTCCCTCCCCACCTCCCCCACTGTGTGCCTCTATCTATTCACAAAACTATTCCTCCCCCAACCATTGATCCCTTTCCACCAAACTTCCCATCCCGGTATTCCCTTCCCTCTGCGAGCCACTAATTTGCTCTTTCTCAAAGTTTATTTTATTTGGCTCACTCATTGGTTCCTTTATGCATCACCTGTGAGTAAGATCACATGGTGTGTATCTCTCTTTGACTGTCTCACCTAGCACCGCGTCCTCTTGTTCCAGCCCCACTGTCCTAAATGGCAAGACTTCTTCTTTGTATAACCGAGCAATATTCCATCGTGTGCATACACGTCAGCTGGAACCAGGGACTCACGGGTGCACACTTAGGCTGTTTCCAAATCTTGGCTATTGTAAATCATGCTGCAGTGAACATGCGGGCATCTGGATCTCTTCAAATGAGTGTTTTCGTATTTGCCAGGCAAATAACCAGAAGCGGGGTGAACAGATCACACGGTGTTTCTATTCCCAGCGTTTTTAGGGGTCACTCTACTGCTGTCCGTCATGGTTACCCCTTGGTTAAAGTTACATATAGGTGTTGAATTCTTTTTGATGCAAGTGTCAATGGAATGTTTTCCTGACTTCTAGTTTATCTGCATAGGAAATGCATCAGATCTTTGTATGTTTTGTGATGTTCCACTTTATCTTAAGTAACTTTATCTGGCGTCTTGGGCGTTTGCTCTGTGTCCACTAGGTCATCTGAAAGAGTGATAGTTTTACTTCCTTTCCAATTGGGATAGTTTTCATTTCCTGTTTCCACGGTTTAATTGCTCTGGCTGGGACTTTCAATACTGTATTGAATAACAGTCGTGAGCGTGGCCATCCTTGCGTCATTCCGGATCTTAGAGGAAATGTTTATTTTCCACCGCTGGGGATGATGCCGCCTGTGGGTTCTGCATGTGTGTGGCGCTGTGTCCCGTATATGCCTGTACTGTTCAAGGTTTTGATGATAAAAGGTTGTTGATCCTTGTCAAATGCTCCGTCTCTTCATACTCATTATTACGCTGCCTTTCCTAATGGAGTTGAATAGTTTTTACAGCATTTTTTTCTTTCTTTCTCTCCCATTTGAGTCATTTCCTTTTTTAAATTTTCCTTTTATTTATATATTTCTTACATTGTTGTGCATTTTCATTTTTTTAAAGATTTATTTATGCATACCAGAACTGGGGTACAGGCCAGAGATATGGGAGGTGAGAGGATTCACCAGAGACAGAGTGGGGAGCAGAACAGGCAGATTGACCGAAGTACACTGCTGAGGGAAGCAGCGGGCAAGACAGGAGAGGTCTGCTGCGCCATGTGGGTTGCTCCCTGGAGGGCCAGGGATTGAACTCGTGCTGCAGAGGTTGCGGATTGCTTCATAGTGCGGTGCTTACCCCCTTGCACCACCAGGGAGGCCCTCATTGTTCATTTTAAACAAGGTTTGTTTCTCCCACCCCCTCAGGTGTAGTCCCCATAGAGTTTCCTTCACCAATGCTCCTTCCTCCCTCCCTCTGATCCCTCTACCACCTCCTCCCCTGCAGGATGTCTCTGATTTATAATTGTCCGTTTTTGCTTTGTTGTGTTTTGTACTGTTATTTTTTTTGTCCCCTGATGTCTTATTGGGTTCTCCTATATTCCTCCTATAAGTGAAACCATCTGATATTTTTCTTTTTCCATCTGGCTTATTTCACTGAGCATCATCCCTTCATCTGGGAGTTCTCTGGTAGGTTCCACCATTCCTTGTCTTCTGTTTCCTTAGCTTCCACTTGTACTTTTATCTAGTTTTTTGAGTTCTTTGTATCCCGAATCTTTCTTATTTATAGCTTGTTTCTACCTCATGCGCAACATTGTAGAGTTCGGTGACTTGCTTCTCCAGGCTCTCTTGTGTGTCTGGGAGACTGAAGCGCGTCGCCTTGAGGAAACTCAGTCTGTCAGGTCACAGGAAGTTTTCCATGTCTTCACATCTGCCTTCTGGAGCCGTCATGCTCTCCTCGTGGTGCCCTGTCCCTGTGAAGTCTCAGGTGCCTCCTCCTGGCTGCCTCTGTGAGACTCTAAGACCTGTTTACCACTTTTGAAATAGGACCTTACTTTTGGTTTTCTTTAAAAAACAAAAAAAGCGACCAGCAATTTTGATCTGAGCTGTTCTTTTCATTCCAGCAGGTGGGGCTGTGGCTTTATTTCTATATTTAGGCCACTGCAGGCTGTGGCACCTGCCCTGGGCCAGCTGGGATGGCCGAAAGGCTGCCGCTGTGTGGCTGTGTGGGTTGGGTAGGGAGGGGAGTGCAGGGAGCGGCCCCTGTTGCTGGTGATGGGGGCACTCAAGTGCTTGGTGCCGCTGTTCTCTATCCCCTGTAGGATCCTTTCTCCAAGCCTGCACCGTATGCCTGATGCCGGTGCCGTTCACGCGGAGGGCGGAGGAGTGTGGTCTGGAGTGCTCGTTCTGGTTCTGTGGCCCTCCTTGCTGGGGACCGGCCCATCCCGTGGGGAGCATCTCAGCTCCTCTGCTTTGGGCTGCACCTGAGCCAGGTGTGCCTGCACCCCACCCCAGCCTTCCTGCCCCTGCCGCGGTGTGGGTGGTGCGTTTGCCATCTCCCCCCAGGAGCTGCTCTGTCACGCCACGCGGGCTGAAGCTGGTGCACCTTTGGACAGTCTCCGTGGGTCTCAGGCCGGGCGTGCTTCAGCCTCAGGCCCTGGCTGATTGTTAGTTGTTCTTCTTGTAAGCAAAGCAGGGAAGGTCTCCCTTGCCATCTTGGTGATGTCCCTCTAAACACAGCTGCCTTCTAAAAATATATTCTCCACCGAACACCAGTGGACCTGAAAACAGAATTATATCTTAATAAAAAACAAATGAGATTGTCTCATTTTTTTTTTTTAAGATTTACTTATTTATTTTATACAAGAACCGGGGTATAGGCCAAATGTGCGGGAGGGTGAGAGGATTCACCAGAGACAGAGCGGAGAACAGAACAGGCAGACTGACAAAATACACTGCTGAGGGGAGCAGCGGGTGTGGCAGGAGAGGTCTGCGCACCATGTGGGACCCTCGCTGACTGGCCAGGATGGAACTGGCACAGCAGAGGCTGCAGACAGCTTCACAGCGCTGCGCTCAACCACCTGTGCCACCAGGGGAGGCCCAGATCATCCCACTTTTGAAGGTCAAAATGCTCACGCCGCAGCCGGACATCAGCGTGACCCCTGGTGTGCTTGCCAGGCCTCTGCCTTCCTCTTCTCAAATGGAAGCTAGTGTCCCGCAGTGTTGGCTTTTCTCCACTATGTGCTGTGCCAGCAGAGGTTTGAGTTGACTTGATCCCAGGGGACACAGGCTGGGATGATGGGGACACGGTGTCCGTGCTCTTCTTGGAGTTCAGAGACAGATTTTCAAGAGACAGACATCACAGATGGCCTCAGCTTCTCTCTTATTAACAGTCAGCACCTGTTGTGACACCCAGGTAGTGATGATGTAGGACGGTGACCAGAAAGGACACTGGAGAGGGCACCAATGTGGGCAGAGCCTCAGTCAGGTCCTTGGCATCTGTCCTGCGGGGCCGTCTGTACATCACGCCCTAGGGCATAAAATCAGCACCCAGCCCCACCATGGTGGATTGTCTTTGTGATGAGCTGGTGGTGTGGTGGCCACATCGTGTTCGCTACAGACTGTTACCCTATCGTGGCTAAGGGGCGAAGGCAGTGTGTGGCTGCAGGAAGACAGGGTGTCTGGGGCCAGGAATGGCGACATGGTGAGATTTGGGAAACATAATCCTTAAAGTTAATTACATGAACTCTTAGCATTTCAAAACAGAGGAAAGTGAGGTCAGTGTGGCCTTGCAGTTGGAATTTAATAGCGTGTTTCTTGTTTTAATCCTCAGATATCTTTCTGAATTGTAATGGAACCCAGTCAGAAGTCCTAAGCTGGAGTGGTAACCAGGTTCCTGTTCCAAGACTATCTGACAAAAAGTCGGCAAATAGGATTAGGGACAGGAATACATTTATCAGTCATCCAGATGGGGAGCTGTGGGGGCCATAGTTTGGAATAGTTACCTCCGGGGTTAGAATTGACAGGACTGCACTCGAAACGCAATGTTGAGGTTGGAGGATAGAGCTGGGGTAGAGTAAGAGCGATCTCCGGTCCTCCCAAGAGCTGAGATTAGATGAAGAGGTGAGTAACGAAGCCACTCACTAGACACAGGACATCAGCCTCAAGACTTAGGGCACAATGACAAGAGAATGGATACGTTGCCTCGGTGGTGACAGTGGAATCCCTTGGACAGAGGTAAGAATTTAATAAACAATTTTGCTGCTTAGTGCAACAGTCTAGGGTAGAAATATATGCATTTCTAAGTCATCAGGATATAAAGACTGGGGTATTCGACTTGATTTCAGTTCTGTCTCATATGAATAGTATTATCTTTATAAGAACATGAAGGAAATACCAATCTATACATCTTGTTTGTTCAGGAATATTCTGAGACAAACTTGGGGTTTGGCAGAATGTAGAAAATTGTACTTCAGTTTGACTCTAATCTACTCGGGAAGAAAAAAACCATCAACCAGTATAAAACTTAACCCATCTGCATGAATGGAAATCAATTGAATTGATTTTTTGAGGAACTTGTTCGTTGGCTGCCATTTCAAAAGTCGATAACACGTAATGTTCTAGAATAAGGTCATTTCAAAGGTCAACAGGAAAAAATGAATGAGATTTACTTAATTCATGCAGATTGTATATTTGCAAAAGCATTTAATTGTACAAGTTTTAAGTGAAATATGAAGTTTGAATTTAATCAAAAATCTATAAATGCAAGTAGGCACTATGCTTTCCAGGACTAAGAAATCTATTCTTTCACTGATGTGTGAAGGATTGAAAAGGCCATCAACTCTTACCACTAATAGCTTTTCTCTTCCCCCCTTCCATCTGCAGCACATACTGTTATTTGCCCAGAGGACACTGTGCAGGGTTTTGGAGCACATTTAAGAATTCAAATTCTAGTAAATCATAATGCCTACTTAAAACGTCGGCAGTAATCATACCCACCAGATTATGACAATAGAATTTTCAAGAAGAATCAATAACTAAAATTTGTATGCACACTGTTTATACTGTAAGAAATGGAAGTGGTGGGTATTCTTTTTCAAAAACCAACAGCAGTGTTTAAATTGTGCTTGCAACAATTTTAGCAATTTTCGGCTTATTAAGTTAGAGGGAGGTGCCGCTGCTTGGGTTTTTCCATTGAAAAGATGTTCATTGTAAGCTATGAACGTGTAGTGTGTATAACGTGTGTGTGCTCAGTTGATAAACAAATCAAAAAGCAAGTGAGAAAATAAACATCACGTGACCGTTTCTGTATCAAGTAGCCACATCAAATGAACACTGGGAATAGCTGAAGCAAGCAGCAGGCAGACTCATGGAAGGGGTGTGTCGTTTATTTCTAGATTGAAATCTGGTCTCTTCAAACCTCCTAGGGATGACAAGATCCTGTCGTTCAGAGAAAATGGAGACAGCATCACCCCAAAACTGCTGTTGGGACTGGCAGATAACGCTGGCGAGGAGCCTGCCCTGCGGCCTGGTGCTCACCCACCCCTCTCTCCAGGCTGTTGGGTCACCTGTCCATTGGGTTAGCCTGGAGAACAACTCTCTGCCCAGGTAAGTAGGCCAGATTCTGCTCCTCCAAAACTAACCAGGTCTACCATCCACACGTGTATCAGCCACATCCCAGGCCATGGGAATACTCGCAGGCCTTACTGCTTTTTTCATTTCTACATTTGTCCACTCTCTCTTAGCTTTACCCAAAGGATAACTAAGAAGATAGTGGAAAGAGGAGAAATACCCATAATATATGGAACCCTAACCTGGAAGTCAGCACATGTGAGGCCTGCAGCACATTGCCGCACGAGGAGCCCACTGGACCTTCAAAATCACCCTGAGAGGTGCTGTCACTGCAGCTACCACCGGGCCAGAGGAAATTCACACCCTGCACCTTCTAGCCTCCAAGCCACTTTCAAACTTGCATTCTTTCACCAGTGTCTGTAAGCATTTTTATGCAGATTCAAGATGGGGGAAAACAGCCCCTACTGCTCCACCCCAAAGTTTGTTGTGACTCAGCAAGAGCTGAGAGTTAGACCTACATCTCTGACGTTGCCCAGCCTGGAGCCACGGCTCAGCGAGCGGGTGAGGGCCCCTTCTCTGAACTCTGAGCTGCCTCATGCAGCTTCTCCTCTCCTCTCCCACGCAGACCCTCCATGCTCTCCCATGCAGCCCCTCCCAGCTGAGCCTCCACGTGCTCAGCTGCGTGTGAGCCACGCGCACTGGTTCGGGTGCTCTGGCCAGTAGATGTAAAACTGGGGCCCTGGCTCTCTTCTTGACGAGCTCAGTCACGACAGCAACACTGATTTGGTGCTATTCATTCTTTTATTGGGGAACATTTTTCTTTTGTTGTGTCTGCGGCGCCTCACGAGGATGGCAGGCCGGGCTGCTGGCTGCACCTGCGGCAACCGGGGGGCATCTCTGGGCTTTGCCTGCTCCCTGCGAGCTGTACAAAAAAAAAAAAAAAAAAAAATAGTTTACTCAAACTGCCCCTTCCTGAAGTCTGGGGGCAGCCTCCCTTGGCGTGATGAACTCTGCTCGGGCTCAAGCTATACTTTCAAGGGCTCCACTTTTCAGTTTCCAGGCTTTTATTATTCAGCATGATGTGAGTGCATAATCACACACTTGACACATAGCACACAGCTAATGTGTGTCCCCTCACTTGGACACTGAACAGGTGACACCAGCACCTCCCTGCGTCCTGGCAGGTGAGTCCCGGCAGAGGGGCGGCAGCTCCGGGCCCTGCCCCACAGGTGTAGCTGCAGCGACTCCTGCTCCCCAAGGACCCCTGCAGGGGTCCTGGGGTCCCGCCTCTTCTCCAGCAGAGTCTGTCCCCGAACTCTGGTCCGTGGAGGGTCCCATCCACTTCTGGAATGGATTTGGTTTTTGCTCAAACGTTCAGTCTTTAATATGCCTCGTTTTCCCTCCCAACAGTCCTGGTGCAGGTGTGGACTCCCCAGAGCCCCCGCCCCAGTGCTCAGGAGCCCCGGGCAGCAAAGGTGCCTCTTGAGCCCCTCCCTTGGCTGTGGCCTTGCGGCCTCCGGAGGCCTGGGTGAGCCCCAGTGATGACAGGGGTTTGCCGAGGAACAACTTCCCGAAGGTTGCTGAGGGCAGCGGCCCCCGAAGTCCACCCGTCGCGTGCATGAGCTGAGCCATCTCGGGGGGGGCCCTGCAGGCGCTCAGGTTCCTGTGGCAAAGGCAAATTGTTTTTCTTCCCCGTGGTGATGAGAGAGGCTCCTCTGAGGACACCCCAACCCCTCGCCCCCCTCTTGGGAGAGCTGGTGGCAGTCGGCAAAGGAAAGGAGGGCTTGGGGTCCCAATAGGAGGGGTGCAATTGTATGGGGAAAATAAAAATAAAAATGCATATATTGTGCAAAAATGAATGAGGTTAAAAAAAATGTATAAAATAAAAAATTGTTAAAAAAAGGTGGGGGGGGAGAAACGAGGAGAGAGGAGCGACAGGAAGAGCAGGGCAAGGAGAATAAAGAGCAGTAGAAAAAACCGAGCGAATGCGGGGCCTCCCCGGTGGCGCAGCGGTTGAGCGCTGGGCTGCGAAGCTGACCACAGCCTCTGCAGCGCCGGTTCGATCCCCAGCTGGCCAGGGAGATTCCCACATGGCGCGCAGACCTCTCCCATCATGCCCACTGCACCCCTCAGCAGTGTATTTCCGCCCCTCTGCCTCTTCTGCTCCCTGCTCTGAGATGAGGGAGAATGGAGAGGAGGGCAGGAAGACAGATGGGGGGGGGGTGGGGGGTTTGGGGGGGCAGGAAGAAAAACAGATTGGGGGTGGGGCAGGAAGACACAGATTGGGGGGTGGTGGGGGCAGGAAGACACAGATTGGGGGGGGGCAGGAAGACACAGATTGGGGGGCGGAAACAGATGGGGGGCGGGGGGGCGGAAGACAGATGGGGCGGACAGACAGATGGGGGGGCGAAAGACAGATGGGGGCGGGGGGGCGGAAGACAGATGGGGCGGGGGGCGGAAGACAGATGGGGGGGCGGGGGGGCGGAAGACATGGGGGGCGGGGGGGGGCGGAAGACAGATGGGGGGGCGGAAGACAGGGGGGCGGGGGGGGCGGAAACAGAGGGGGCGGGGGGGGGCGGAAGACAGATGGGGGGCGGGGGGGGCGGAAGACAGATGGGCGGGGGGGCGGGGGGCGCGGAAGACAGATGGGCGGGGGCGGGGGGGGGGGGCGGAAGACAGATGGGCGGGGGGGCGGGGGCGGAAGACAGCGATGGGCGGGGGCGGGGGGGGGCGGAAGACAGATGGGGGCGGGGTGGGGCGGGAAGACAGATGGGGCGGGGGGGGGCGGAACAGATGGGGCGGGGGGGGGCGGAAGACAGATGGCGGGGGGGGCGGAAGACAGATGGGGGGCGGGGGGGGGCGGAAGACAGATGGGGGGGGGGGGCGCGAACAGATCGGGCGGGCGGGGGGGCGCGAGAGGAAGATGGGGGCGGGGGGGCGGAAGACAGATGGGGGCGGGGGGGCGGAAGACAGATGGGCGGGGGGCGGGGCGGGCGAAGACAGATGGGGGGGCGGGGGGGCGGAAGACAGATGGGGGGCGTGGGGGGGCGGAGAAGATGGGGGCGGGGGGGGGCGGAAGACAGATGGGGCGGGGCGGAAGACAGATGGGGGCGGGGCGGAAGACAGATGGGGGGCGGGGGCGGAAGACAGATGGGCGGGGGGGGCGGGGGGGCGGAAGACAGATTGGGCGGGGGGGCGGGGGCGGAAGACAGATGGGGGGCGGGGGGGCGGAAGACAGATGGGCGGGGGGGCGGAAGACAGATGGGGGCGGGGGGGGCGGAAGACAGATGGGGGCGGGGGCGGAAGACAGATGGGGGGGCGGGGGGGGCGGGGGCGGGGGGGGGCGGAAGACAGATGGGGGCGGGGGGGCGGAAGACAGATGGAGATAGATGGGGGGCGGGGGGGGGGAAGACAGATGGGGGGGGGCATGAAGACACGGAAACCTGTTGAAATCAGCTTTATTGGCGCTGGCTCCCGGCTGTGGAAGAGGAGCAGGTTCTCGCCACTGCTCCGAAGCCTGTGTCCCTCCTTACAAATTCTGCTAGAGAAGAATGTTCTAGAAATGACAAACTGCATTTATGAACTTGTCACTCCTCAGTGCCAGGACTGAGCATCTGGAGGGCTGAGAACCCGGGTCAGCGTGTGGCGCCCCAACCGAGGAGCAGGAGGAGGAGGGAGGGCAGGAAGATGACCGTCGAGAGAGAAGCGGACGCGCAGGGCCGGCCCAGGGGCTGCTTGCGGCTGAGGAGACACGGGGCGCGGCCAGCAGGCAGACAGGGTGCTTTTTAAAAATGACTTTCACATGCAAAGTCCATGGGCACAAAAGGAATTTGCTTCTGCCTATTGCAGGACAGAGGTTTCCTCAGTCACTGTGAACAAAGGCTTCTCCCCGGGCCTGTCAGGGCTCTCCCGGCAGGCGCTCTGTGCCCGCGCACCCTCTGGTGAGGCCAGTGCGGCCACGGCTGTCCCCTGCCCCCGGCGTCTGCCCCTCTAGGGTCCCGGGGCTGAGTTCTGGGTCCGGCCCAGTCAGCGTGGCCGCACCCCGCGTGTCTCCAGCGCTCTGGCCAAGGGGCATCCTCAGCATCCCCAGCCCCACAGGGAGTCTGGCTGAGCCAGAGTCTCTGGGCTCTTCCAGGGGCCCTGGGGGCCGTCCTGGAGGCTTTGCTGTCTGACCTGTTCAAATGCCCAGTGAATGCGATGATCTGGGCCACTGCCCGGCAAGGGGTGACGCTGGGAGTTTCACAGTGTGTGTGGCCAGGGCCATGCAGCCCTGCCCGCGCCTCCTGGACAGGGCCTGGCGTTCCTGAGGAGCAGGGATGGCCTGGTCTCACCTGTCATGACTCCAGGCATTATTTTCAGAAGTCGTGCAGCACACACGGCGCCAAATGCCCGTGCCAAGTTCACCGAGACGCCCTCCCTGCGCCCCTCACACTCAGAGAAAACTAACTTCCCAATCATGCCCCTGAGCTGGGGAGACCCTGCAGCGCCCCTGGGCAGGCCACGGGCTCACAGGGTGACTAGCGAACGATCCGGAGCACCGAGCATTGTGTGGAGGGAATGCAGAGAGGAGCATGTCTAGGACTTTCATGACTTTCGTTCAAAACATTGTCATGCCAACCCCTCCGCCCAGATTTGAGGAAACCATTTCACCTTTGGCTGTCAGCAGTGGGGTCTGTGTTTGTAAAGAGAATGGAAACATGGACATTTTTGCTGCCTGAGTCCTCCAGAATTGAGAAGCTTCCCAAGGAGAACTCCCGGCCCCAGGACTGACTGGGAAACTGCAGGGAGAGGCCTCAAGGCCGATGTGACCCCTTGCAAGAAACTAAGGTTGACTTTCCGAAGCCAATGAAGAGGCCCTTGGAAAAATCAGCCCGGCCCTCTGCTGACAGGGTGACAGGTTCCTGCCAGTGTCACAGGATGACGAAGCAAGGCCACGTCCGAGCAGGCGCAGGGAACTCGGGGAGAGAACTTCACTCACATCTACAGCTACTGTCGGCGCCGTCGAAGGGCGAGTCCCTGAATCGGCTTCCAAGGCTGGGGAGGCGCGTCCACGTCCCACCCGCTGTTTCTCAGGAAAAGTCTAGGAAGGCCCGACACCTTGGACGGAGGACCTGCCAGCGCATTCCCCTTTGAGCCACAGCCAAGTGACCATTGCTCAGCAAGCAAAAACATGAACTCATGCAATCTGCTGCAACATGGATGGCGCTGGAAGGGATCATGCCCAGGGAAATAAGCCAGAAAGAAAAAAGAAAAATAACGGATGGTCTCACTCATAGCAGGAATCTAGAAAACCTAAATAAGGGACCAGCTAAAAGACTAATCATAATAAAGTAAAATTCAAAATCAACAAGTAGCTATAAAATGGAGACACACTGGGGCGGGCGGGGGAGGGATTAGGATCAAAATAAGGGGGAGGGTGGGAATTTATGGGGACTATAACGAAGATGAAAATGCATACATTGTGCAAAAATGATGTAAAAATATAAAAAAATATTAAAAAATATGCACTGGCTTACTGAATTAAAAAAATCTAAATTAAAAAAAAAGAAAAGCAGGAGTTTATCTTTTTTGATTGCTGAGTAATATTCCATGGTGTATATGTACCACATCTTCTTGATCCAGTCATCTATTTTTGGGCATATGGGTTGTTTCCAAAGCTTAGCTATTGTAAATAGCGCTGCTATAAACACAGGGGCAGGTGCAATTTGCAGCAACAATTTGCAAGGTGCAGGTGCAATTTGCAGCGCTGGAAGGGATCATGCTCAGTAAAATAAGCCAGAAAGAAAAAAGAAAAATCCCGGATGGTCTCACTCATAGCAGGAATCTAGAAAACTTAAATAAGGGACCAGGAAAATGAATAACTATAAGAAAGTGAAAATCAAAATCAACAAAAAACTATGA